TGTCTGCCTCCGGAGACGTGGTTTGCCTGTCTGTCTGTCTGTCTGAGACGTCCCAAACCCTAGGCTCTCCTTCCAAAGGCTGAAAAAATCGGGAAATTTCGTCGGAATGTGCACTTTCATTCATTGGATTCTCTGCAACTCAGCGGGGCTGGCTGCTGCGCCCCCAAGTTGGAAGGGAGCTTTCCTCCAGCTTTCTGGTTGCCGGATCCTCTGGTTCCCTCCGCCATGGGCTCAGTTTCCGGCTCCAGGTTCGCGGGTTGCCCCGAGGTTTGAGGCCAGACAGCTCCTAGTCTGGCAGGGAGGGCGGGGGAGAGACTAGCGGCTCTGGCCCCTTAATTGTACTTCGGACCCGTATTGTCTCTCCTTTCGCCACCTCGGCTTCCTCAGTCTGGGCTCCAAAGTCACTGCAAATTTCCTTGCGACACACACACATCACACAAAGATCAGGTAACAAGGCACCCCGAGCCATGAGGGCTTCAGGCAGAGAGCACCCCCAGTTCTGGGGCCGCTCCTCCCTGAGCCACTCCCCAGGCTGGGAAACCAGACCGGGTTGGGGGAGCCGGAAATAGCCCGGTTTGCTGCGGGGCGGCAGGGTGGGGGGCCGGCGGGAATGCAGGCCGTGGCGTTGAGAGGGCCACGTTCACAGGCCCTAGGGGTTTCACTCCTGCTGGGCTTAGGGGCCTGACTCCTGGCGTGTAGGGATCCCGGATACCCACCTGGGGTGGGGGCAGGACGCGGTCTCCTCGCGGCGGGCCAGGAGAATTCAGTTTCTGCTTCCAGCGCAGGCCTTAGCTAGGAGGAGTTGTGTGTGGGTGTGTTTTTCCCAACAAAGAGGGATCAGGAGCGAGAAGGGGGGAATGTAGAGGGGAACCGAAGGGGGGGCGGGGAGGGGGAGAGGGCAGCCGAGAGGTGAAATGAGCCCATTTCAGGGGGAGAAGGAAAATGAAAGCAAATGGAGCACGGCCTCCTCCGCGCGGGCGGGTGCTGACGAGCCCGGGGAGCGGGGCTCCCTGCCTGCGGCGGCTGGGGACCGGGAAAAGCCTGTTTTAAATTTAATCCGAACTTGACGGTGTGGATTGAACCGGAGGGAATTTAAATCACTAAGAGGGAGGCGCAGGGCAAGGGGAGGGGATGACTCTAACCTGTCTCTCTGTCTGTCTGTCCTTCGCATGGTGGTGCTAGCCTGGTTGTGGTCACAGCTGTGCAGGTCTGAGGTGATGGAGTAAGGGTGCCCCTCCCCCTTAGGGGGCTCTCCTGTGCCCAGTGAATTCTTCTGGGGTGGGAGGCAAGCTCTAAGAACCAGAGTGAATGCAGAGCTGCAGGCTAAAGCTGGGGTATTCCCCCCCCAACAGGGACTCCCCGTGTCCTCCAGTCCCTCGGGTTTGCCCCATCGGTGCTGAAGAAAATTGAAGGGCGTGCTGGGGTGTGAGAGGGTGTCTGGGAATCTGGCAGGAGACGCAGCAGGAGTAGGTGAGTCTGGAAAGACAAGCCCCTCCTTATTGGTGCCCCCACATCCACAGGCCAGGGTTTGGGGCGAGCCTGAAGTTCTGCTTCAGAGCCCTGACCTGCCATCCCACCTCCAAATGCAGAGACAAGGGGTACAGCCCACATGCAGTTGTGGAACCCAAGGGACCTTGGCCTGGGGACCTCAGGGACGCCCAGCCTCTTAAAGCCCCCCTCCTCGGGACTGCTGCTCTCGGCAAGGCCTAGGCAAACCGTGGCATCGGTGGGGAGGGGGCTGTGGGCGAGGCCTGCTTCCTGATCCACAGCTGTGTCTGGGCCTGAGTGGGGAGGGTCTGAGTTCGCGCTCTCAAGCGAAGGCGACAGTCTCCCCTCAGTTTCACGGGGAATTTGATGGCAGCAGGGAGCCTGGGCTGGGTGATCCGGACTGCCCCGCTGTGGCTGCCTCTGCTGGGTGGGCAAGCAGGGTGGGCAGGCAGCTCAAGAGTTGAAAAGAAGGTAGTGGCCAAGGGGGGTAGGACAGAAAGGGGCATCTGTTTACAGCCACTTTGTCTGAGGGGCTCTCCCAAATAGTAGAGGCCCATAGGAAAGGGTCTTTAGGGGCGTCTTTCTTCTAGGAAAACTGAGGTTGGGGCAGATGGGCCCGGTCGCATGGCAAAGATGCAGAAGGAGGAGCAGGGCGTGAGACCTTCTCCTTCATCATGTCTTCTTTGCTCCTAGACTAGAGCGTGGCTCAGCCCCCAGACGCCTGGGCGGCTGCCTGGGCTGAGATGGGGTTCCACATCCTCCGGAGGCCTAGTGTACCCACCCCCGCAGGTCGCCTGGGAGGGGCACGAGAGGAGGCCTCTTCCTCCTTTGTGTTGGGACAGAAGTGGCCGCCGCGCCCGGAGCCGGTCCCGCGGCAAAGGCCCGGCAAGCCAGCGGACTGCACAATGCCACGGCTGCTCCCAGCTCGCGCCCTGCCCCGTCCCGCCTGCCTATCGCCGCCCGTCCTCCCTCTCGCTCTCTGCACGCCTTCGTCTCCCTGCTCTCCCATCGCTTTTCATCTTGCCCCCCTCTTTCCTTTAATTCTCCCCTTTCCTTTCCTTTTTATCTCAATCCTCCGTTTTCTTCTCTCTTTCCCTCCCTCCTTCCTTTCCTTGGGCCTGGCGCGTGTTTCAGTTGTTACGTTTCAGGCTCAGTCTCTCTCAGGCTCTGTCCCCTGATGTCCTCTAGGTCTCTGTCTGGCCCCGGGCCCGCTGAAGGCTACACGTCTCTGCTCAGTGCTGCCAGCAACCGCCCAAGAGCCGGGCAGGGTCCCCAGCCGCCAGCGCTGGGGGAGGTGCTGACGGTGCTGGGGATTTGGAGAAAGCCTCGGCAGGGGGACGGGAGGGAACCTCCTGTCTTTTCCTTGAACTAGTGAGGGAGAATTTTTGATTGACAGCTAACCCGACTCCATCAAGGCCAAAGAGATATTCTGTTTCTTGCTGTAATTTGGATTTCCCACACCAGTCCAGTCCGGGGGAGGGGAAGACGATCAGAGCTGAGGGCGAGGAGGCTGAGGCCCCGGGTTGTCTCTCCCCAGCCAGGCATTTCTCACACACCCCCCGTGCGTCGAAATCCCAGCCCCGCTAGACCGAAAAGGAAAGAACCGGAGAGGGGGAGGAGCAGGGGCCGGGGAGGAGACTTGGAAAGCTGGGGTCAGTGCTGCAAGCTGCAGGTCTACCCTCCCCCCCAACTCCCCCCCCCCATAACACACATGCTACACTCTCTGGGACACCTCTCTGTAGCCCTCCTCCACCCCAGAGGAGATAGGTCGACAGAGATGCAGGAGAAAACCATCCTCCACCCTGGCCCCCAGCGTTTGGTCCCCTGTTGGGGACAGGAGTGGGAAAGAAGTGCAGGCGTCTCATGTCTGGGAATCCTTGTCCTTCCCTGCTGCCTCAGAACCTGTGTCTCAGCCTCAGCTCCTGCCTATTTCCCATAGCACAAACTGGGACTCTCTTCTGACCCCGAAATTGCACCCCTCCTTCAAACTCACTCTGCCTTCCCTAGAGTGCATCATGTCTCTGGGGGATGTCACCTGCCCTTCTCCCTACCCCCCAGCCAACCTCCCTGGCCCCCTCTCTTGAACCCACACTGAGAATTTCCTGCTTGCCAAAAGCCCACCTTTACTAAACCACCATGGGGCAGTCTGATGGAAAGCAGAGGGCTGGACGACAAACCCCAAATTCAAGGAGGAGGGTAGCAACAAACTTATTGGGGGGAGGAACCGAAGTTGTCTGATCTTCCCTACAATCACACTGCCCCCTCCAGAATTCCTGCATCCGACCCCAAAGAAATTGCTTTCTCCCATCCCTCCTGCTTTCTCCCATCCCTCCGTTGCTTTTTTTCCGGTTCCAAAAACAGCCTACAATTTTATTTAATGAAAGACACATTTATGAACAATCAAATGATCCTCATAAAAATTTTATTGAAGGATGTAAAAACAAGCTACTTGCCCACGACCGAGGTCGCTCTCTCTCTCCTTGCCCGCTCTCACCCTGGCTCTCTGCAGACAGAGCCCTGGAGTGACTTCTTTTGGGGGGGGCAGGGTGTCGCAGAGATGGAGTTGGGGGCAAAGGAGGGTGAGCAGGAAGACGGGATGGGGACGCCCCACTTAACTTGTGCTGATCTCTCCTCCACTTCTTCAAGCTGGCAAAGAAAGATAAATAGATATAGACAATAAATTTAAAATAAAGGAGCTTGCATATCTGTGCCAAAGCAAAGAGAGGACTTCTGATGATAAAGGTGTATGAGGTCCGAGGTCCTCCCCCTCCCACACGCAGACCAGCTTCCCCAAGCTGCCCTACCCCAGATTTGGGGGGCTGAGTTGGCCAGTGGCAGAAGGACGCTCTCCTTTCCCTCCTTCCCTCCCTCCACCCCAGCTTCCCCAGTCCCCTCCCACACCCTCTCTCCCTCGCTGCTGCTGCTCCTGAAAGAAATACATACATACACACTATTTAAAAACGCATTTTTAAAAGCCACGTTCCGAACTGACAATCGCTGATCTCGGCTCGCGCAGAGACTGCGGGAGCGTCGGGGCCGACAGAGACGGATTACGTCAAGAAATAGTTCCTCCACCTACCTCGGCCGGCCTCTCCGCCCCTGCGGGGCTCCCGAGCCCAGCTCGACCCTGGGGGTCCGGGAACCCTGGCTTCGGGGACTGGCATTTTCACCCCATTAGGAAATCCTCCAGGGTGGGGGCGGTGCGAGAGGCCATCTGCTTATGGGTGGACATGGGCAAGGGGGTGCTCTGATGAGATACGAGTTGTCCTGAGGGGGTGGCCGGTGCCTGGGGTCCAGAGTTCCGGACCCCCAGGAAAACGTAGGTCGCGGGGATCAGCAGAGAGAAGGGGGTGGGAGAAGGGAAAAAAAAAAAAAAGCAAGGAAAAAAAAGCCCCTGCGCATTGATCCGCGCCGTATTTTTGGGTAAATACGATCACGTGGGGGCCGGGGAACCAATGAGCTGCGGGGAAAAGGCTGGAAAAATAATTACCTGCCTTGATTGTTCTGTGAGCAGATAAAAAGTACATATACAGTTCATACAATAATCTTATGTATGTAAAACCCTGTTACGATGTCGGCGACGGGGCCCATCAGTAACTATTACGTGGACTCGCTCATCTCTCACGACAATGAAGACCTCCTAGCGTCCAGGTTTCCGGCCACGGGGGCTCACCCCGCCGCCGCCAGACCCAGCGGTTTGGTGCCGGACTGTAGCGATTTTCCGTCCTGTAGCTTCGCGCCCAAGCCGGCAGTGTTCAGCACGTCGTGGGCGCCCGTGCCCTCGCAGTCGTCCGTGGTATACCACCCGTACGGCCCCCAGCCCCACCTCGGCGCCGACACGCGCTATATGCGGACTTGGCTCGAGCCGCTGTCCGGCGCCGTCTCCTTCCCCAGCTTCCCGGCCGGGGGCCGTCACTACGCCCTCAAGCCGGACGCCTACCCCGGGCGCCGCGCCGACTGCGGCCCGGGCGACGGCCGCAGCTACCCGGACTACATGTACGGCTCGCCCGGGGAGCTGCGCGACCGCGCCCCGCAGACACTGCCCTCGCCCGAGGCGGACGCGCTCGCCGGCAGCAAGCACAAAGAGGAGAAGGCCGACCTGGACCCCAGTAAGTTGGGAGCAATTTTCCTTTACAACCGGCGCGGGAGGGGAGGGGAGGCCGGGCGGGGGGAGCCAGATTACAGCCCCTCGGAGCAGCGCAGGGAGCGCGGGAGAGGGGCGAGGGCGAGGGGGCGAGGACTCAATAAAAGCGAATTACCTTGGGGAGCTTTCAGGGGCAGGAAGGTCTGAGAAGGGAGCCCAGGGAGCCAGGTTGGGAGAGGGCTGAGGGGGGCTCCTCTCCCTGGAGCCGGCTTTGATGAGAGACCCCCCACCCCACCCCCAGCCCAGGCTTTTTGGCTCAGTCTCTACTTTCCAAGAAATGCAGACAGGGCCAGGGGATGGGGTGGGGGGTGAGGTTCATTTTATGGTTTGAGGTGGGATTGGGGGAGAGATGAGGACACTGGGGACAGAGAGGAAATACCCCAGGGAGAAAAATCACCCCTACCTCCCAGCCAGCCTGGGGGTTCTTACCCCACCAGGGATTCATTAAACAGAAGGTGCATGGACTTCTTCTCCCCCCAGGAGCACTGGGTGAGGGGTCTGGGGGATTTCCCTGGGAACTTGGAGAAATCAGGACTTCCAGAGTTGGGGAAGAGAAGTGGGGTCCCAGTCTCCTTAAACTTGAGAGCCCTCTTCTGAGGGTCTGCAGGAAAGAGGGTTGAGAATCGGGCTCAGGGATGAGGAATGGGGGGGAGCATCTCCCCAGGTTAGAGAATGATACACACACACACACACACACACACACACACACACACACACTCCCATCAGGGAGACTGGAGCCTTCTGAGTATTGCAAAGAAGGGCAGGGGTAGGTGGGGGGGGCAGGTGGGAGCTGCTGGGCCAGAGAAAGGGAAAGAAGGGGAAACAGCAGGGGAGGGGGTACAGCCCCTGGGTGTGAGGAAGTGTCTGGGGGAGTCCCAGGAGGGGGCTGCAGGAAATCCTTTCCTCCAGCCCCATAAGGGGCCAGGGCCTAATTATACCCCTCTGAAGGCTTCCCTCCTTGCCCTCAGCTACTCCCATAAACCTGAAATTGGAGGCTTGGCTCCTGCAGAGCCTGTCCTGGGGCTGGCAGGAGGGGGGCACTGGAAGCCTAACAGGGAAGCTAAGATATGGGGGAGCCTGTCCCAAGGCCAGTAGTTCTCTGGGGAGAGGAGAAAGGCTTTCCCCATTCTAGCATCACTCTGAGAATTCGCCTCAGCAGGGTTGAACTCCGAGAGCGGAGCCGGGCGCTGAAGAGGGTAGTGAGGGGCTTAGGGACTCTCAGGGTCAGGAAACAGAAGTGCTGAAATTTCAGGACTAGGTCGTGGGCTGGGAGGATGGGAGGGGGCAGAGGAGGAGGGGGGAAGTGGGGAGGAGAGAGACCGCGCTATAAAAATAAAAAACAAGAGAGAGAAGCGTTTATGGGCCTATGAAACGGTTGGGAATTTGGACTTTTTATGAGCATATTCTCGAATTACTTACTCTTGAAGCTGAGGACCAGACTGGAGGGGCTTTGATAGCTTTGATTTCCTATAGTTTTAGGTGCTAGAAATTGAAGAGGGGGATGGTGGGGAGGGGGCAGAATGCAAAAGGAGTCAGGGAGAAAATTCCCAAAGCAAAATGTGTCCAAATTCAGGTTCAATTATTGCATTTGGGGAGCCTGGCTAAGTCTGGGGGTAGGGTGGCAGGGCTCCTGGGCTAGAAAGGGGCTCCACTGACCCCTGCCTGTGTTTGGCCCTCCAGGCAACCCCGTGGCCAACTGGATTCACGCCCGCTCCACGAGGAAGAAGCGCTGCCCCTACACCAAGTACCAGACGCTGGAACTGGAGAAGGAGTTTCTCTTCAATATGTATTTAACCAGGGACCGTCGGTACGAGGTGGCCCGGGTTCTCAACCTCACCGAGCGGCAGGTCAAAATCTGGTTTCAGAACCGGAGGATGAAGATGAAAAAGATGAATAAAGAGAAAACCGACAAGGAGCAATCCTAAACCCTGCCCCAGCCTGCTGCCTCGGCACAGCCAAGGGAAAAACAAAAAACCCCACAAAAATACCCCAACCCAGGCGGGAGAGAGCACGAAAAGAAAAGGAAAGAGCAAGATAGAGAAAAGCCAATCAGCTTAAAAAGGAAAAAAAAAAAAAAAAAGGAAGGGGAGAAGGAAAACTCTTGCGATTTGGGAGGGTTCAGTGTTGAGAAATTGGTGTTTTAGAATTAGTTCTACCCAGCGAGGAGCAGGAGGCGGGGAGAGAATCCGCTTTCTCTTCTCCCAGCGCAACTGAAATAAATAACACACACAAATGTGATTTTTTCCCCTCCTTTCTTCAGAGAAGCCAGTACTTGAATTGCTATATTTCTATTTTGTTTCTGTATCGTATTTGGTCCGGGCCATCCCTCCCCAGGCCTGGGGTGCTCTGCGTGCAGATTTTGTACAAAAAAAAGACACCCACACCCACACAATAACAATTCCCAGCCCAGGAGCCGAGGGGCGAGGGCCCGCACCGTGCCGCAGGCTGGGTCGGGCGCGCAGGCCGGCGCCTCGGGCTTGTACATAGCAGTGTTTCTCCTCATCCCCAGCGTCCGTCCTGTAACGTGCTTCTGTTTGTTATGGTTAGAACAGCTCTGTGTTAATATATCGAAGTCACTTAAAAAACCAGAAACCCAACCGCATCCAGTTCTCGTTATTTCTCCTCCCTGTGGCTCCCAGGCTGCTGTCGTGGAGGAGGCAAGTGCTCAGTTCCTTTGGGGCAAGCTGGAGCCAGGGAAGGGGCTCCCTCTACCTCGGAAGGGCAAGTGCCTGCCGCTGCTTCCCACGCAGGGTGGGGTGGGCGTGAGGGCGCCAGGGCTGGAGTGGAGGCTGCTGAGGCCCGGGCCCAGCTTGTGCCTGCCCGGCCGGCTGCCTGTGAGTTTCCTGGTAGCTCGATGGAGTCCAGGGGGCGGGGGGTGGGGGCATGGCATGAATGGTTTTCCCTGGCTGTAATTAATTGTAATAATTTATGAGTACACGAGATCGGAGGGAAGAGATAGGTGAACATGAAAGTTGGGTGCTGGGTGAGGGCCCGGGCTGGATACTTGCCTGCCTGCATTGGTGCTTCGAGGGATGGCTGGGAGGCAGGGAGGATGTGCGGTGAGCGGTGAGCGGGGAGGGAGAAGGCTGAGCAGGCCTCAGGGAGCAGAAGAGGCACTGGGGACTGCGTTGAGAGTAAAAGGGAGAGAGAGAGAGAGAGATGGGAGAGGGAGGGAGAGAGAGAGAAGGAAGGAGGGAGAGAGGAAGTAGGGAGGGAAGAAAGGAAGGAAGGAAGGGAGAGGAGGAAGGAGAAAGATGGCAAAACCAATACAATCTGAATTAGATTTTGTTTCAACTTCTCAATGCATTCTCAGCTTCTCTCTCTCTCTCTCTCTCTCTCTCTCTCTCTCTCTCTGGTGGTTAGTTTGAATGTTGATTTGGGGGGTAATAGGGTTATGCTGAGTGGCTGCAGCATTTCTGGGGGATGACATGGCCAAGGCCTAAGGAAGCTGGTCAGGGATTAGCCTGGAGTGGGGCGTTCCCTGATGGTGGTGGGACCCCAGGCATAAGGGTAGAGGCCCATATGTGCAACAGCCCATTGGGGCTGGTCAGTGGCACTGCACCCCAGAGCGCCTTCCCCAGCACCGGCAGTTTTCATCTGCTAATCAGAAGCAGACACAAGCTGCTGGGTATGCCTCGGCCCCGGCGCCCCCTTTCTCGGAAATCCCCCAATCTGGAAACTATTAAACTCAGACGACTTGAAATATAGCGCTTTAATATCTCAGGCTGCCCATTCTGGCGAGGGCGCAGGGTGTTGTTCTGAGTACTTGGGGAATACCACCATAAAAGAAAATCATTGGGGATCCCAGTACCTTCTGCAGCTTCCTCCCTTGCATGGCCTTACAGGATTGGTGAGGCACTTGGAGGGACCAGCCCCTTCCCCATCATTTGAATCTCCTACCCACTCCTTCCATTCAACACTCCAATTTTGGGGACTGGAGGAAGGTGGGAAGGCACAAACATTTTGTTTCAATGATATTTTGAGGGTCGCAATCAAAAGTCGAAAACTGGTTTTCCCAGTGACTGAAGCACCTTCTCTTTTCCCACCGAAGAGACCTCCTGCCTAATTCCAGCACCAGTTGTTTCCTTGCTCCTTTTGAATGGTGCTTTGCCTGTAGTTTAATCCTCACTCCCCTCTTTGGCCATTCCGCTGGTCTGGGACCCTGGTCTCAGTTTCGCACGGGGCAGAGGGCAGGGCACCCTGGGTCCTGACTGCCAGTCCTGACTGCCGGGACTCAGGCTTTTCTCCCAGCCCAGGCTCCGCTGCGTTTCCGGGCCTCCAGCCCGCCCCTGCTCCAAGGCCCTGTCGCCTCCCCTCGTCCGTCAGCGCGGCCTGCTTCCTGCAGCCCGCCGGAGCGCGGCCTTACCCCGGACAGGAAGGAGGGCTGCAGTGCTCGGGGCTCCGAGGGCCCTGGCGAGACCGTGGGGATCCAGAGCAGGCCCACCCGGCCCAGCCCACTGTTCAGTTCCAGCGCAGCCTCCAGCCTGCAGGTCAGGATTGGATTCAATTCTTTTATTTATTACAATTTGCGAATTAAAACCATAACACAACACACATCTAGGGAAAGGAACGAAAGCTGGGGGCGGTGGGGGGAAAGAGGGGCTAGCAAACGCCCTCCTGCCCTAACCTTCCCCTCCCACCTCTCCTCTGCTCCTTTGTCAGAATCACAAAACCCTAAAGGTTGTTCCACTTGGGAAGGCAGCGGATAGGTACATTTCCGCAGCCCCGAAATGCCACTTTTATGGCGCTGTTTGTCTCCCCGCGCTGGATTCTGAATGGGGCCGAACAAAACAGCAGCGCGGAGCTGGCTAGACGTCTGGGCTTAATTGTTTTATGGTTTAAATAAGGTGGACACTCTTTCCTTTGAAATCGGATTATAGGAATGTTTTGTCTATGGCCCACGGAGAACAGGACCTCACTGGCTGGGAGGGAGAGGTGGAGAGAGCGCGCGCGTGAGAGAGAGAGAGAGAGAGAGAGAGAGGTGGGCTACAAACCAGGGGGCAAACAGTCGGGAGAAGTCAGCGTCCCACCCCAAAGTCCTGCAGGCGGCGGCGGAATAGGCGGTGCGGAACCAGCGGCAGGGTAAGAGGAGCGAGGAGTTTAGGGTGCGCGCCGCGGGCAGGAGGTCGCGGGAGCCTCGGAGCGTGCATCTGCGTGAGCGGAGATTTTCCGAGCCCAGAAATGCGCCTGAATAGGGGGGAGATCGCGGCAGGTCCTCTGCACAGTGTCTCTTAATGCAGGGAGGGAGGGTGAGAAAAAGAAAATAGTGTAAAACCTTTGAGAAGGTTTATTTGGAGAACTTGGAAAACAAAAGGACAGCGGCCCCGGGGGAACTTCCTTCCGGGGACCCCTCTCTCTCGCACCCATTTGGAAACTCCTTCCTCTCACTTCCCACCTTTGGGCCAAGGCTGGGACCTGCTTGCTCTATCTGTTGGCTTTTTCTCGGCCGGACTGCATTGGAGCAAGTGGACGCGAGGTGGCGCTGTTGCTCAATGTTAGAGGCGGCGGCGGTGCCCCTGGCCGGCCTGGCGGCACTGACATTTGAGGCCCGGCCCGGAGGAGCAGCGGGGAGAAGGCCCCGCGCCCCGGCCCCAGCCCGGCCCCACTGGCTCTGAGCAAATCAATCCTCTCACCTGCGAGGTGTAAATAAATCGCGAGTGGCGGCGGGAGATGGGCCCTCGCTCTGGCAGCGGACTTGGGAGGCTCAGGAGGGCGGGCGTCGAAAATAATCGCTTTGCGAAGGAGATAAGCACCAAGCAGGCAGCGCATAATTAACACAAAAAGGCAGAATGACCCGGACAAACGAACATAAATCCGTGGTACCTAGGAGGGCGGAGCAGGCCTCGGGGCGAGGGGCAGAGACGCCCCAGCGAGGATGGCTGCTTGCGGTTCCTTTATTTCCAAGCTCCGGGAGCGAAATCAACCAGATACGTGTAAAAGAAAAAAAAGGCGATCAAATGAAAAAAAAAAAAGAAAGAAAGAAAGAAAGAAAAAGCGAGGGACCCCCAAAAGGGGAAATCGAGTCCAGCCAGGGGTTTCAGGACTGGTGGGCTCTCAGAGCAGACGGTCGTGGCGGCACACTCGGGACAGTCGCATTCCAAGACACAAAGGCCTGGAAGAATAGCTCTGTGGCAGGGTCTTCGCTGGACCATAAAATGTCGAGATATCCCCCCACCCTCTAAAAGATAAGGCGCAGGCCCCAGAGCGGATCTGGACTGCCGAGCCTTCTCTTTCCAGGCAGGGAAGGGAAAATATTTATGACAGTCCCCAGTGACCCAGATGCTGGGAACCCAGAGCCCATCTCGTTCAGCTTGGTACTCTGAGCAGAGTAGGCTCAGAGAAGGCAGGGCTGAAACCAAGGCTGGAGCTTGCTCTGGTAGTGCAGGAGACCCCTGTCATGCCCCCCACTGTCCTGGACCCTAGGGAGGCCTGCAGCCCTGGCACAGTCCTCTTCTGATCCTCCTCTCCTGCTCTAGGGCCAGAGTTCTGCACATTGCAGAGTTTGGGCAGTCCTTAATTCAGGTGGAGGTGGGTTCCTCCATATTCAGAGATCCTGGAAGTGTCCTTTGCTGGGACACCAGTGACTCTTCTTTGGGAATTGGCTGAGAGTGGCCATCTTCCCAGCAATTATTTAGATAATAGAGGGACTGGGTGGAGGCTGTTATTCTACACCATCCTTTCCTGTACTGCCATTCCTTCATCCATCCCCAGAGCTGGGCTCTGGCTGAGGAAGAAAACGATCTGGTTTTCTAACAGCCTCCTTCCTCATCCAACCCTGAAACCCCAGGATGTGGAAAGAAAATAGCAAAATTTTTTCATGATGCAAACAGCTAAAGAGGCACGTGTGTTTGTCAGGTATCAGTCCGCTGTGTGCCCGGGGGCACAGTGTCCGTGAGGTGACAGGGATGCTTCTGGGCATGCATGATGGTTGAGGGAGCGTGCATTCAATGTGTTTCAGGGTGGGAGGCGGTACATCCAGGATGTGTGTATCTTGAGTGTGCCCCACTATTGCCCTGTGTACAACAACCTCACACACTGCGGAAGGGGAGGACCGGAAAAATCCTTCTAATTCCTCTTCCTCATTCATATGCACACAGCACACACATTCACAGCTCTCTCACTTTCTCCCTTTTCTCTCTGTCTCTGTTCAGCCCCACATAACTGTACATACTTATGGCCAGAGAAGGGTGCTGATGGACTAAGGTTCTTTTATCCATTAGAATTACCTTGAATTTACCTAGTCTTGGGGATAGAGGAGGAACCCCTAGAGAAACCATGGGTAAATATTTAAAGAGGGTCTGTTGGCAGTTCCCATCCACATCCTGGCCTGGGCAGCCTGCCTGGGGAAGTAGGGGGTACCGTGAAGCCAGAGGGCCCCTCCAGGCTGAGCTGGTATTTCCTATAGGACTTGAGTATGTGGGGACAAGTAAGAGGCCTGCTCCAGTCCCCTCCAACCCAGATACAAATAGTCTCCCGAGAAGAAACATCCCGGATCAGCCCAGCCGGAAACCAGGGACCCACCAGCTGCCCTCTCCTCTGTCCCCATAAACTGCTTGGCTCTCAGAGCCCCCAGCCAAGCTGCAGGGCAGCCCTGCCTGGGTATGTGGAGTGCGCCCCACCTCCAGCCCTCTCCTCTACCCACGGCAGGCGGGCAAGAGAATCTTAGGGATGGGGGAAGATGGGGCAGCTTCCCACCCTGAGGAGGGGCAGGAGACGTGGAGGGTTGGGATGCCTGAGGTATTTGGGGATATGCTGTGCTGAAACGCTTGCCCCTTCTGAGTCCCAGGCTTAAGGATGCCCTGGGGAGCCCATCTTTGGGTTAGGGGACCTGCTCTCTTGCTGGCATTCAGCGCCTGGGGGG